TCAGTGGACCCCGCATACCGCACGCATGCAACCGTACAATCCGTACCCTCGCTTTTTTCGCAAAAATTTTGCCTCGTCCCCCCAAAAAAACCCCCTCCGTCTTTGTTGAGAGCATCCAATGGGCCTGAGCCACCTAAGTTCCCCAGGGGGATTGTTTCCGGGACCTCCGCGGTAAAAATCCAAGCATACATGGAAAATTTCGTATTATTACGTGTTTTTGGTGATTTTTTTGGAAAATTTAAATGCCTGGGCCCCAAAAAAGTTTTAGTGACAACCCCACAGCAATAAAAGGGGGAGAATTACTATAGAGATGAAAAAAAGATCATTGATAAGTATGAAAAATGGGTGGGTCTCCCAGTGGCCAGGTTGTTATAAACCCCAATAACCCTCGTACTATTGGGGGTACAGTGCTGCTGCTCTGTCACCATCAGTGTGCGCACTGCAGTGGCTGCACTGTCGCTGTGCTGCACGTCAGTGCTGTGTGTTGTAAAACCCTCAGCTGCGCTGCTGCTGTAGTACTGTCTGTGCTGCTGTAGCATTGGGTTTCTGCTGTGTGCATGTCTGCTGTCGTAGATGTCTGTATTTTCAACCAGGATTCCAAATGGCCTGTTCCCCCGGGGAATGGGGGAAATAAACACGTAGAAAAAATTTAGACTTTATTATCCTTCACCGTTTAGAAAAGCAATTTTGTACACTATGCAGTGATAAGTATAGTGCATCCCCGGTAAAGCAAAGCAGTAATAGAAGCCCCAAGATAGCAGACCCTGCTTCAACCAGCTCAGAATGGGAATGACAAGGGCAGACGGGAAGGAGCGGTACCACTAACCCCTGCGATTTCCAAAACCCTCTTCTTTTTGGCTGAACCCGGTCCTAGTTGAACGACGGGGCCACTCAACTTTAGAACCCGGGCGCTGGTTGGGGGGAATGCCCGTAAATGAGGGGGGGTACATGCGCCGAATAAAGGTTTGTTCTTTGCATGCCACAGTCTGCTGCTGCTGTGCATGTCTGCTGTGCTGTAGATGTTTTTTTGTGTAGCATCGTTGCTGGCTGTTATG